CACGCTGCACTCAGCCTCCTGGGTAGTATAGTTTTATCTTACAAACGACCAGATGTGAGTAGCTAACTGTCCAAGCCTGTCTTCTAGAGAACCACGAGGCTCGGAGAGTCGCCTCAGATCCGCCTCTTCACAGAGGGCACTACCAAAAGAATAAGGGGCCGGGGAATCGAGCTCAGGATGCAAAGGCCTTCGTCCGGGGTCAGGACGAGTGCAGAGGCGCAGAGGCAACGCTGGGGTCCTGACTGCCTCTGGATCCTCTTACAGAGTATGCAGATAAATGAGCAGTCAAAAATAACCGCCCAAGGAGGATGCCGGAAGTCCCGCCTTAGCATTTTACAGAACGCAGGACCTTTAACTCTTGGGCCTACGTTGGCCCAGAGCCACCTCCACAGGATGCACAGACTTCTGAGAAAAACAACTCCAGACCGTTGTTGACCTAAGAACATGCAAACCGATAGAGAATTTTTATAAAAATTTATTTGAAACGCAGAGGATATGCCTAGAAGCAAGATCTCAGACTGAGAAAATGTTTCCCAGAATGACAGTTTGCAGCTTCTTTTATGCATTTGGAATTAAGGCGGGAATGTAAGGAAGATTACAAGAAGGTGGGAGAAAGCAAGATGGGGATCGGATTATAGGATGTCAACAAGATTCTGTAGTCATGTTTCAGGTGAGGTCCGAAAGTATGATGGAGCATTAGAGTCTGAAAAGAGGCATTTTGATGGTTCATTAACCTAGATGCACAGAAATAATGGACAGGGCTGGCTTAAGGCAAAGATAAGCCTTTTACTAAAAATGTTATATCCTTAGCTGCAGTTGCCCAGTTGGGAATTTATGATCAGATCACCCTGTGAGGTTACTTTCTGTAGAACCCCTTTTTTGTCCACCTACGTCTGAACTTTGGGAGAGGGTTCGTACCTGGATGTACAAATTTGGGAGCTGTCAGCATACACTGTTATTTCAAGTAATGATTCTGTGAGACCAGCAGAGAATGAGTGTAGGCAGGGAAAGGAATAGACAGATGAACATTGGAGCAACTCAAGTAGTTGCCGACCAGAAACCCAAAAAGTCGTGTTAGGAATTTTAACAATCCTTTGACATTATATTAAGAAAAATCTTAGAAGTCATAATTGGTGACTTCTTTTTTTACTTCTTCTCATGACTATGAAGGTAAGAAAACACAGGCTGGCATACTACCCTAAACACACCTGCCCCCGACTATTCTCGGAAGCTAAGCAAGGTCGGGCCTGGTTAGTAGGATGGGAGACCACCTAGGAAGACCAGGTGCTGTAGATGTAAAAAAAAAGAAAAAAGAAAGAAAAAAACACAGGCTGGTGTGGCTGCAGGGGCTGCCAGGAGCCTAGGGGGTGGAGTCCACCTTCTTGCTGCTCTTCAGCCTGGGCTTCGGGGAACAGACCAATGGTGGAGGAAGGATAGTGCCATTTCCCCGGCAACACCTGCCCCTAAGTGTACAACAGCACCTGCAAGGTAACAAATCATAAGTATCCGAATCTGAAAGGATAGCGTGCTTGGTGGAGCAGCTGCCTGGGAGAACATTGACTCTCTTGCAGAGCCAAGTCCCACATGTGAACATCCTCATGCCTATGTCATGCAGCTTCAGACCCTCTCTGCAGAGGAGCCAATGACCACCTTCTACACATGCTACAATGTTCAGTGTGAACACTGCTGGAGGGACTGGGGCCAGGCTGTCCCAGCTGCATCACTGTTTATCTTGTTCCTCAGAGTGGATTCCCAGCCTAGAGCGTGCACTATGTCTTGAGGGTCTTTGCTGATATAGCAGAAAGCTAACCCATTTAGGGTTGTTGGCCAGGGTGTCAGGAAAGGTAGCCCATCTGTCAATCAGTGGATGAACTCATTAATGTCCAGGGAGAGTTCGTGAGTGGGAAAG